ATACATCTCGCTTTCTTTTAGCAGTTCATTATATATGAAATTAACTTTATTTTTCAAATCTTAAACTCAAACCTTTATATATCTTACTAAATCTGTTAGCAGTCTGATATGTATAAAATTAATAGTATCCTGGCAGAAATCATCACTTGTTAACATTACTCTTTCAGCGAATAAGTTAACTATGATTTGAAGTTAGAGAGACAATAGCTATGATTTAAATCCAATTAACTTAATATGATATTAATTAGGAAGTTTATTTAGTTAACAAGAATAAAGTTATATATTTTTATGTTAATAAAATATTTTTGGAGTTTATTAATGTTATTTGTTATCAATTCTATTTTTTATATCTAATCTGTATTTTTTTAAGGCATTTTTATGTCCTTTATATAGAAAAATATAATTAAAGAAAATCACTGACAATAATAAGATTTAGAACATTATTGACAATAATAGTAATACTAACAAGATTAATATAAATACTAATAATATTACATATGCTAACTATAAAATAAGTAATAATAATGTTATAATTAATACTAATAACAGTTTTATTATTATTGACAGGTTTGTCAGTTTTGATAGTTTTGTTAGATTTATTCAGTCAGTCAAGTTTTACTGGTTTCAACGTATGTATTTTTATATAAATAGGAGTAGTTTATCAATATAAAAAAGCAGAGAGTCTTGTCTTGTAATAATTCTTTTGATAAATAAATTGTTTAGTACAGATATGCTGACAGGGGCAGTACTAGTCTTTTGTTTGTTAAATAATTAATTTTATGCATTTTATCTAATTTATTATATTTATCTTTATTTCTTTTATTTCGTATCTTTATTTTACTCTTCTATATAAAAGAAACCTTCTGCTAAACTTTGATATTACAGATGATTTACCTGTGATCTAAAGAATTAGTGTAATATTATTATATCTATATTATTATACTTATGGTTGTTTATCTAAACTCATTTTCTTTGATATAATTTTTTCTTTTTTAGAATTTCGCAGATTTTTTAATAAGATTTTAATATAATTTCATTAAATTTTATCTTTTTCTATTTAGATGACTTGTAAAACCTTTAGGTTCTGTCCAGTAACCTTAGTTATACTTATCTAAAAATTGTACTTAATTTTTACCTTAAGTGATATCTCAATTGAATGATAATGCAACTTTAAAATATATTATAATCTTTTATTAAATACTTAATTTACTAATTATCAATTAATCACTTTCTTATTTATATAAGGATTCTAAATTTAACATATGATAATATCTATTATTGATTTATTAGCAATAGCCAAATTTCTATTGATCTCTAGTTTCATTACATTTATTTATTTTTAAATCAAATATTTAAATATAATAAAAATCAATTGATAAATTAATTTAACTAGTTTCTAATATATATTAGTCTATATATTCACATATTTAGTAATAAAAAATTCTTATAAAACTATATAGGTTTATATTTCAGCTGAAATCTAAACCTATGGTTATTGTAGTATAACTCATAATAAGTATTCAATTATTACCAACTGAATTAGAAACACTGATTCTATAAATAATAAACAAATAAATTTATTTTTTTTATAAGTATAATAGTTTCGTAAAATTTTTATTATAATAAAAGTTATTTTATATAAATAAAATATAAATCATCATTAAATATTATTTGTCATATTTTTAATTTTAGTTAAAATTTATAATATTAGTTAAAATACCTTTTGAAAGGTTAAGTTAGATAATATTATACAATTTTAAAAAAAAACAATTTTAAATTCTAATAAAATTTAAATTAAATTACATAAATATTTAAAAAAAAAAAATTTGTAATAATAGTAATGATCATCATAGGTGATCAATAACAAATTTTAATTTTATAATATTTTATTATGATTAATATTAATAAAAGTAAACTTTAAAAATTATAAATTTTTAATTTATAAGTAACTTTAAATTTTTTATTATATAATTAAAATAAAATTACTATTATTTAAAACATAAGTATAAATTAGTTATAAAATATTGTAGATAAATTATAATATTTTACTATTTAATGATCATAAAAAGATAAAATAAAATTTATTAGATTTATTATATTAATATGTATCTAATGATAGTATTTTTAAATTTTTAAAATTAATAACTATTAATATATATTAATTTTTTAATTTTTTAAAATAACTTATTATTTAATAATTACGAAAAATATAAAATTTAATTTATTAAATTTATTTCATTAAGACCTATTAAATGATTATATTTTTATATTTCTAAGATCAATAGATAGTAAGATATATAAGTTTAAAAATTTAACTTTTTTTCATAATAATTTATTATATATATATCTTTAAAATATTATTAATTAATTACATTTTTTTGTGAATTTTTTAAAAATATTATAAATTTATTATAAGAATATTAATTTTAATAAATTATTTTAAAAATATTTAAAATTATTATAAATAATTTTAATTATTAAATAAAATGCAGACAAATTTAACTATAAATGTTTAAAGAGATAATATAATATATATTTATAAAATTAATTTAAAAATTTTTTAACAAAATTTTAATTTTTATAAAACTAAAGCAAAAGAGAATTTATAGTAAATAAGTAAATAAATTTATCTATAAATCTTTATAATCTAAGAAATAATAAAGTTAAAATTAGTTGTAATATTATAAATTTATTTAAATTATAATATTATAAAGAAATATATATTGAAATAATTTGTTTTAATTAAATTAAAGTATTATAATATAATATTTTAAAAAATATAATTTAAATTTAAGAATTATTTTTTAATTATTAATATTTTAAGTGTTATCTTTTTTAAATTATAATATTAATAGAAATTTTTAATTTAAGTTATACTAAATAAATAATAAAAATTAATTTTTCTTTAATTATAAAAAATATCTTAATTTTATTATTTATATAATATGTAAATTAAATTGAGTATTTAAGTAGTTTCTAAATATATTATTAATTTTTGTTACATTTTTATTTTAATTTATTTTATTTTTATGATACTTATAATAAATAATAATATAATTTAAAGTTTGTTTACTATTATTATCATATGAAACCTTTGCAATAGAAAAGCGAGAAATAGCTAAAAAAAATAAAAATTGAATTAATGTTAAATCTAAACATATTTTGACCTAAAAATCATATTTAGTATATAAAATAAAATTGATTTTTTTCAGCTGTTTCTTTCCTTTCTATTGCAAAGGTTTTATATGAGTATATATATATAAGTGTTAAAAAATTTCAGATATTTAATTAAAAAAAACATTTATTAATTTATATTTAATATTTAAAATAAAATATTATGTATTTTTTATATAATAAAATTTACAGATATAAAAAAAGCAAATTTAATGTAAAAGTTCTATAACAAGTTAATTTAAAAATATATATATATAACAAATCAAAAATATACAGTTTTTAAGAAAAAATCTTTTGTATTACAATTTATAAAAAAGATATATAATATTCTTTTTTTATATATTTAAAAAAATTAATATTCAAATTTTATAAAATAAATTGCTTATTATTTTTAAATATTTTATTTAAGATAAATAATTTATAATTATAATTTTTTTTTTTTTAGGTTATCTTAAATTTTATTAAAATTGTTAAAATATTAATAATTTATAATTATAATTTTGTTTTTTTTTTTAGATTATCTTAATTTTATTAAAATTGTTAAAATATTAAAAATTATATATATATATCAATCTAAAAATAATTTTTAAATTTTAAAAAAAAAAACGTTAGAAATTATTATTAAGTTTTTGAGACTACTTTTATCTTTTAATAATGTTTGTTATTTTGATTAAAATAAAGATTTAATTATTCTTGATTTATTAGATTTATTAAAACAAAAATAAATATTGTTTATTAAAACTCAATATTGAAATGATCAACAATAGCTTTACGATGTCTAGATGTCTAAAATGTCTAATAATAATAAAAAATTTATGGTGTAATTATATGCTCGTATTGGTTGAAATAAAATTATTATTAAATGTGATTGAAACCTAGAAACAATCAATAAAAAAAAAATATTCCAATTTAAATTTTATTGACGAAATATTTATTTTTTGGCTTTCTACGGTTAGCAACAATTTAATTTTCTTGAAAAATATTCAAAAAATTTGGGAATGAAAAAAGCAAATAGGGAATAAGAAAATTTCGCTTTGTTTAAAATTTTCTCAGCTGAGATATTTTTCTTTGTTGTATGGCTTAATTGGGCAAAGTCATCAGTTCCCAAAAGAAATAAAATGACTTCATTGTTCGTTGAAGAGCTGTGTATCATAATACAGCTCCATCATTGGTTCACAATAGGTCAAATATTTCTAAATGGAGTTAACGAAGTTACACAAAAATGATAGAACGATCGTAATTTGCAGTTTGGGGATGTCGATTCAATCATAATGTTTTGTCCCCCCAATTTCCGTTTTTTACGCCTAATTTATCAATTTTCAGTAGCTACATGAAATTTTTATGGCCGAAGTCTTATAATTCTACACTTTCTACATTTTTTTTTTGCCTTATCAAACAACCATAATTTAATTATCCTTTCTCTAAAATTATTCACCTCGGAGACTCGTAGGTTTGCCAAGAATTATATAAATTAACCTTATATTTTCTTATATTTCTCCAAAAAAGAAAAAAAATTTTTTTTGTTCCTTTATTCTATATTAGTTTGAATTATACCTTACAAGAGTTTTGTTACTTTCGTCGTTTCTTATAACAGGTAAGGTCGTATAAAAAAAAAATAAAATAAATACTCTGGCTCACCTACTATTTTTTTTTTTGATTATTCGTTAAATCCAAGAACTTCGATTAATCTTTTTCTCTTAACGTTTATTTGTCACTCACTCAACTAATTCATATAACTAATTTTTTTTTGTTTTTTTTTAAAAAAAAAGGGGAAATCTAAAAAAAAAAAATTCATATATATAAAAGAATCTAAATTTCACAATATGATGGCCAATACAACAATATTGCAGCAGCAGTCAATGCATATGCCTCAGCAACAACAGGCACCTAATCAATCACAACAACCTCTACAGGCTCAACAGCAGCCACCTTCACATGCCCAACAAGCCTCACATACTCCTCAGTCACAAAACCAACAATATCTTTCTGTACATTCCCAAGCCGACCAGATTCAGAGAAACGGCATGCACAAACAACAAGAGCAGTGTCTCTTAAATTCTTATGTATACGATTTCCTAAAGCGTAGTGGTGCAACAGAAACAGCCCGAGCTTATTTACGGGAAGGAAGAGGAGATATCAAGTTAAAAAATGATGGGACAGATTCAATAAACGGTAGTAGTAGCTCAAGTTCAGATAACAATATGAACGCATTATTATTACCGGACGCAGATGTTCCAGTACAGGCTCCTGAGGGATTTTTATATGAATGGTGGAATGTATTTTGGGATATATACAGTGCTAAAACACAACGGGCGGGAACTTCGGAAGCACAACAAGCACAGCGATTCGCTGAGGTAAATCTTAAGACTTTAATCCAAACTAACTATTGTTTTTAAAATTATCAATTTAGAGTAATTTATTATGAGTTTAGAAATATCCATCATAAAATATTTCATCTATATCGACGTAATTATCATTTAATCCATTTTTTTTTTTTTTTAAAAAAAAAAAAATGATATAGATGAGAAGAGGCCGTTTCCGAATGGATAATATTAATCAATTACCGGGATTAAATTATCAGCAACAAGTTGTAGCTCAAGCTCAAGGTGTTCAGCAAATGCAGCAGCGGCTGATGCATATTCAACATCCACAACAACAGCATCCACAGCAAGCTCAACAAGCTTCGCAACAAGCCGCTCAGCAGCAGCAGCAGCAGCAACAACAGCAACAACAACAGCAGCAGCAACAACAGCAGCAGCAGCAGCAACAACAACAGCAACAACAACAGCAGCAGCAGCAGCAACAACAACAGCAGCAGCAACAACAACAACAACAACAACAACAACAGCAACAACAACAACAACAAGCACGGCAGCCACAACCACCACAAACTCCACAACAACCTCAGCCTCAACCTTCTCCAGCTAATCAACAGCAGGTTCCTCATGCACTTCTACAGCCGAATCAATTTAATAATCGCCAACAAATGGGTAATGGTGTAATCGATTCTAATAACACGAATGGTGATATGTCAATGAGTCCTCAAAGGTTAAAAATGCAGGCAGCACGCAGATTACCAGCGTAATTATTATTCTTAATAATTGTTTTATATTTACATGACTTAAATTCTGACCTTCGATTTAAATTATTAGATCTGGCATGACTATCAATCAATTACCTATGTCTAATCGATTTCTAAATCTCCAACAGTCACAACATCAAACGTCGGTAAACCAAAATAATGTTGCTTTGGTTCCTCAACAAGGCTCTCAAGCAATTCAGAATCAAGGACAGCAGAAACAACAGAGCAGTGAGGTCAATCAAGGACAAGTTCAACAATCCATAGCGCGAGATTCTCAGTCAAACGTCTCCTCTTCTCAAGCGCACATGACCCCGAATCAATTGCCAGCACAAGTAAATTAGCATACTATATAATACAATCTATATATTAAATCATATAATGTATTCTTATATCGAACTCTTTAATTCATAGCTAAATCCTGCAACGAAGCGTCCTGTCGTCGATGTCCAAGCTATGAATCAGAATATTGGTCAGCAATCCCAATCACCAAATAAACGTCCAAGAACGGTTCAAGAGGCATCTTCACCATACGGTTAGTAATGATTGAATTGATAATCGTGGGTGTAAATTATAATTTTATTCATATATTGAATCATTTTTATACAGCTGCTCATGCACAAATGTCCGCCGGGCAAAGACAATTGATTAATAACAACATGAACAACATGTTAATAACTCAGGTTTGTTATTATATTTGTATGTAGAATTTTTTCGGCATTTAATTCATTACAATTAATTATTCCTTGGTCATCTTAACAGCAATATTCGGCATCCCCTGATAAGAATTGCCAAACCCAACAGCATATAAATGGAAAAGCAAAGGGTAATCAACCAATGCAATATAGAGCTCAACAGATGCCAAATATTAATAAATCAATTTCACCACATGTAAATCAAATGACGACTCCTATGATTCAAAATGCTGTTACCGAGATGCAAGAATCTCAACTTGTTAACCAGATCCATCATCAAATTAATGCTGCCAATACTGGTGTTCAGGACGTAAAAAACCAGCTTAGCGTGCTCAATATTCCCAACATTTCGACTATGCCAATACTTCAGCACGTTATGCCACACAATAATGCTAATATGATTCCAGTATTGGGATACCAACAGGGAATTATGCAAAACCAACAACGAACACAGAATAAAATCAATAATATCGCCCTTAATGAAAAGAATACGATGGAGAACTTCAAGGTGGTATGTAAAGCTTGTATTTATATATATATTATTATTTATTATTTCATTTAGTATATGATCAAGAATAATCTTTTTTTATTAATCATAGCAACGTAATATGCAAGAGCACATGGCTGCTGCTGCTGCTGGTGGTATACGACCAATATCTCAAGTACAGTTTAATAATATGTTGCGACATCAACAACAACAACAACTACAACTACAGCAACAGCAGCAGCATCAGCAACAGCAAGTTTCAAATGTTGTTGCTGCTCAGAATATTAATCAAGCTCAGCTTGCACGTGGCCAAAATGATAATTTAAAAGGGGCAAAGGTAGGTTTAATAAATAAATAATATATATATATATATATATTTGATGAATTTAATAATAATATTTTTCTATAATATTCAGAGTTCTGCTAAGACCACACCAACACAGAGTCAGCTACAAGTTCCGAACGGTAATGCAACAAATGCAATTGCCGCTCAAAATGGGCTTCAATCACAACAATCTGCTCAATCAATGACAACGGGCCTGATGAATGATATTTCAACAGGATTAGATATGAAAATTGAAGAGGTGTGCATAATTTTCTATAGTTTTTTTTGATTCCACAAAATATTAATCAATTTTTATTTTTTAGCTGAGTGATTTTCTGAGCTTCGAGTCAAATGATACGAACGAAATTACCGACGTAAATGGCGAATTGAATGAATTCTTCAATTTCGATGCGGTTGAATTTCCTACCAGCAATGCTGGGCCGAGTACTTCAACAACTAACGACAACTAAAAGTTGCTGTTTGTTGAAAAAAGAAACAATTTGATTTTCTTCCATCACCCTATAGTGTATAGTTTTTTTCTTTTGTGTGTGGTGGTGAAAGGAAGTAAGACGTTCGTTCATTCGGAGAAAAAAATTGTATATATATAATATTAAACGTATTTACGATGCGATGGTTGCCTCTATTTTAGTAATTAATGTGATGATTTCATATCTTATTTCTATAAGACCACGTAATTTTTAGATTTTTAAAGCATTATTCATTTATTTTATATATATATATAATATATATATTATTTTACGCGTAACTCTCCTTTTCCTCCCTTTAGTAAAAGTAGTATATTATATATTAGTAATGATAAAAGTAAACTCGTTTTCAAAACGTGTCGGAATTTTTTTTTTATTAGTTTTAGTACATTTCTCATTAATAAATAAGTTCAGAACTTTTTTGTTATGCTAATAATAATAATGTAGAAATTAAATGAAAATGCTTCATAATATCCAACGCGCGGTTCAGTTCTATGAAAAAAAAAATATATATACAGTAATATTGCTTCATAAATCATCGATCACGTGACAAATTTAGAAAGTCAAACAGCCACCAAAAAATGGTAGCCGGATTTTATTTGCCGGGTCACATATACTTATTAGGTGTGACATATAATTGTGGCTAGCATTTTTCTCTCAAAATATTTTCTGTTTCCCAGAATACTTAGTAAATTGAAGAACGACTGGGATGTGACGCGATGTGACAAATTTGCTAACCCCCTTAAACTAATTCTAATTCTACCCTAATCCTAATCTTAATCCAAACCCTAGCTCTAATACTAACCCTAATAACAAATACCGACAAATAAAATTCGGCTACCATTTTTTGGTGGCGACGCTATGTAAGTCAGAAAGTCATCATTTTGTTATATTAATCATTGTATTATTGTTATTTGTTTTTATTAAAAATTTATGAAATTATATTAAGAATAATTTGAGTAACTCTCATTAATATAAATATTTTAAAAATAAATTAATAACTTATCTATATATGTATTAAATATCAAAAAAAAAAAAATTTTTGAATTAATACTGATTAAAAAAAAAATATCATATTTAGTTTATAAAGTAAAAAAATTTTTTTTTTTATAATTTTCTTTTTTACTGCATAGCATCCATATTATTGAATAAATAAAATTATTTAGAAAAAATAAAAGTGTAATTAATTATAAAAGATTTTTGTAATAGAAAAAGAAAAATGACTAAAAAAAAATAAAAAATAAGTTAATGCTAAATCTAAATATATATTGTCAGCATTGAAAATTTGCTCTAGAAAAATGATTTACAAAGTCATTAGATTTAATTTTATGTAGATTATATTAAGAAAGATCTTGATCGACATATTGCATTGTAAAATCAAGCTAATTTATTTAATTTGAAGAATCTATAAAATTCACCTGATTTGTCTATTTCTTCTGTATTTTCTATATAGCCTGTTTATTCTGTTTACTCTATTTTGCCTGTAATTTTTTTAACGTCTGTAATTTATTTTATATCTTTTTATTATTTTTATAGTTTATATTATTTTTATTATTTTATTATATTTAAGTATATTTTTATTGAAACATATATCTATATTTAGTTAATTTATAGTATAGCAAGTAATTAGCTATAGCAAATTAATTTTGTATAAATAAGAATAGCTTTTGCTTAAGTTGTAAATTAACTCTTTTATGAGTTTCAAGTTATAAATAAAGGAATCAATTTAAATCTATACAAACTAGTTTTCCCTTCAACATTGTCTCTTATTTAGGATTATTGTAATACCCTATACTAACTTATTATTGAGTTTATCATTACAAATTTGATTAAATATATCTTAAATTCTAAGATGTAATAAATTGCTGAGTTAATTCAAGTATAATAGATACCTGTAGGATTTAGAAAAAATCCTAAGATCAGAAATTCCAACATGTAGAATCAACTATCGCAGTTACTCAACTTAAATGTTAAGATAAATAAAAATGAACCCAGTGATAACGTAATAGATTTTTTAAAAAAGATATTGATAAATAAATATGTAAGGATGTTATAAAATATTATCAAAAATATAACATAAAATATAGCTTTAAAGTAAGTTTTTGATTATATCAATGAAAATGACAAATTATGATACTAATCTAATATGTAAAAAATAAGCACAAGTTATACTTGATGCTGATTAAAGACTGAAAAAAGAGAAAGATAAATATAGTCAGACTGCACACTCTTATTCAATCAATTATGATGAACTCTTAGTTCAATATATTTTTTTCAAATAAAGTCTGTTATATTACATATGATTTTAATCTGAGAACTATTCAATTTTTTTTTTACCTAAAAATGGACTAAAGATACAAAAGAAATAATAAGAAGTAAGATATGATTATTGAGTATAATATTCCGATGATAGAATCGTTTTTAGATAATTATGTAATAAAATATACAAATATACTTACTTCTTTTTAGACAGAAAAATAATGAAATTATAAGAAAAGCAGTCATTTAAGATTACAGTAAGTTATACAGATTATATTTATCAGAATTTTGATGATAAGCATATTAAATATTAATAAAAAAAAAGGCATTATTCAAATGATAGATTTGTAAGTCCAAAATTTATTTAGCAAAAATCATCTGTTAATTTTTTGACTACATTGAATATATAAATCGAGGTTTTAAAAATTTGTAAGATGTAAAATATTTTTTTTTTAAAGAATCATTTAAATTTACTATATTTAGTTAAAAATAAATTACATCATATTATACTATATTTTAATACTATATATTTTGTATTATTTTTATGAAAATTCTCTATATATTTAAAGATTTATATTTTATTTAATTAAAAAAAAAAATTGTACTTTAATGATGATAACTTTTTTAAAAAAAATGATTATAATTTTTATAATATTAATGCCAAATATTTTTATAATTCTAGTCATAATTCCTATATATTTTTGATTATTAAATTTTCAATTTTTCTTTATAAATTAAAAATGCATATACAATTAATTCAATTACTATATCAAAGTAAAGAAAAATGAAAAGTTTACAAAAATACATGAACTGGATAATTATGCTTTAATATCTACAGTCAACTCTTGATATAGTGAACTCTTAATATAACGAATTTTTTGAATAAATATAATAAAAATACTCTTGTTATAATGAATTGACCAATCAAATTTCTTAAAATCTTCAATATAGCCTTATAGCGAAGTTGAGGTCTAGGATATAGAGTTCATTATAATAAGAGTTAATTGTATATGCATTTTCTTCTATATATTTTTTGCATTATATTTCTTTTAAACATTCATGCATTTACAATATATAAAAACTCACATTATTAATAAAAAATAATTTTTTCTGAAAATAAATTGCTACTAATTCCATAATAATGTAAAGTACAATTTATCTAAATTAAGTACTTAATAACTAAAATAAGGTATTCTTATTTAGGATTAATACAAATTTAGATTTATTACTTATAAACGTTTTCTTTATAATGAGTTATTTTAGGACATAATTTGATTGATTAGAACTCTTTTTCAATACAAAAAAAATGAGAGCAGGAAAATTTATTAGCTGACCATTAAGTATTCATTATATTATTACTATATTAAAATGAGAAATACTATAAAAAAGCGAGAATAATTAATTAACATTAATATTTCAAAATTTTTTTTGAAAAAAATATGAATCTTTTGAATATATCAGATGAATATTTCTTGAATTAGAAAAAAATAATAAAAAAAATTTTTCTTTGTGATGACTTAATAATACTAATAATAATATATCCAATTTTTAATAAATTATTTAATTTTTCTAAGAACTTTATATTTCCATATTTTTTTTATTTACTGTAAAAAAATTTTATAAAATATTACTTTATTATCTTAATGAAAAAATATCATCTTTATTAATATGTTTTGCATTAAAGAGTTAATAGTTAGAATTTATCTTATTATTTTTATTCTTTAAAATAATTAGATTCTTGATATTTTAACTCATATAATATGAGTACTGTAATCAACAATTATATGCTAAAATAGAAAGTTGAAAAATAAAACAAATTCAAATTCTTATATTATTAAAACTAATTACCTAAAAATGATAAGAATAATTTCTTGAGATTTGTATATTGTATTACATTAGGTCTAAATAGTAGCTATATAAGATTATTTATTTTTATGATACTTTTTTTTTGTTATTCCTAAGATTGCTAAATGAAACTTAAAGATTTTGCAAGTTGTTTAAATAGAAAAAAAGTAAAATTTATTAAAACCTTATTAAAAATCTGTGAAATTCTAAAAAAGATAAAACTATATTAAAGCTTATAAAAATGCAAAACTATATCAAAACCTTAATAAAAATTTAACAAAATTATAGTTTAGATATTTTGCTAAATCTAAAATGAGTAACTTTAGTTATTTCTAAATCAAAAAAGCTTTGTTTAATGAATTCTTTAAATTTTATTGAAGTGGTTATTCTACCTTAAACTGAATTTATGTATGACATTTATTTGCTATATCTTCATTTATTAATTGTATTATTTTTGATGTTTAATTTGCTCACTATGAATAGATCTTGCTTTATATAGTATATGACTTTTTGCTTTCCTTTTATATAATTGTTCAAATATTTAAAATTACTCTCTTTTATTATAATTGATTAATGTTAATAATTTTGCTATTATTTAAGTCATTTTCTAAAATTAATTTTTTTTATTTAGATCAAGTTAAAATTATCTAAAATCTCATCAAAATTATCTGAAATTGTAATTTTAAAAATGTTATGGTTCCTTTTGCAATCTTTGTAAAAAAGCAATTTGACACATATTTATCAAAAATAAAGTTGATTATATAATTTTTCTGATAAGGTAAGGTTCACATTTTTTTGCATTAATTAAACTAATTTAATTTTTTTTTTCATTTGATTTTCAATTAATCTGTATTTTTTTTGATCAAAACTTTATTATAAGA